GTCTCAGCCACAAGTCTGGAGCGTGCCCTCGGGCAGCAACTGTTTCCTGAGCTTCCAGCCCACAGACTGAGGAGGAATTGAGTGGCTGATCAGAGTGGGATTGCAAGGATCTCTTTGCCAGTGCTGAGGCAGGAATCTCTTGCTTTACCGGTGCTAGCAGTTCTGAGGGGCCGTCCTGGGGCGAGGAGGAATGCTGGTGTGGTGGAGCTGGTTGTGGCTGTGGAGAGGAAACGCCTCGACCCTTATCATGACACCTTGGAAGAACTGAAAATTTATAGGTCCTTAGAAGTACCTCTGAAAACAGCTGTACAACCCCCTGAAGCTTGGGGCAGTACACTCTTCACATTAGAAGCAGACTTTTACCTTAACAAAGAGTTTAAAACTCAAGTAATTGGCCGGGATCATGAGTAAGCAGTGCAAAAAGAGTCAAACTATATTATCTTACTTTGGTGACAAAGGAGATCAAAACAAACAACCAGAAGACAACAAAGCCAAACCCCCTACATCCAAAGCCTCCAAGAAAAATATGAATCAGTCCCAGGCCTTGGAAGAGCTCAAAAAGGATTTTGAAAAGCAAGTAAGAGAAGTAGAGGAAAAACTGAGAGTGATCCAAGAAAATAGTGGAAAACAAGTCAACAGCTTGCTAAAGGAGACCCAAAAAAATACTGAAGAAAATAACACCTTAAAAAATAGCCTAACTCAAATGGCAAAAGAGGATCAAAAAGCCAATGAGGAGAAGAATGCCCTAAAAAGCAAAATTGGCCAAATAGAAAAGGAAGTCCAAAAGCTTACTGAAGAAAATAGTTCCTTAAAAATTAGAATAGGGCAATTGGAAGCTAGTGACTTTATGAGAAATCAAGACACTGTAAAACAAATCCAAAAGAATGAAAAATTAGAAAACAATGTGAGATATCTCACTGGAAAAATGACTGACCTGGAAAACAGATCCAGGAGAAAGAATTTAAAAATTATTGGACTATCTGAAAGCCATGATCAAAAAAAGAGCCTAGACATCATCTTTCAAGATATTATCAAGGAAATCTGTCCTGATATTTTAGAACCAGAGGGCAAAATAGAAATTGAAAGAATCCACCAATCTCCTCCTGAAAGAGATCGCCAAAGGAAAGCTCCTAGGAATGTTGTAGCCAAATTCCAGAGTTCCCGGGTCAAGGAGAAAATATTACAAGCAGTCAGAAAGAAACAATTCAAGTATTGTGGAAACACAATCAGGATAACACAAGATTTAGCTGCTTCTACATTAAGGGACTGCAGGGCATGGAATATAATATTCCAGAGAGCAAAGGAGATAGGATTACAACCAAGAATCACCTACCCAGCAAAACTGAGTATAATCCTGCAGGGGAAAATATGGTCATTCAGTGAAATAGAGGACTTTCAAGCATTCTTAATGAAAAGACCAGAGGTGAATAGAAAATTTGATCTTCAAATACAAAACTCAAGTGGAACATGAAGAGGTAAACAGGAAAGAGAAAATCATAAGAGACTTATTAAGGTTGAACTGTTTACATTCCTGCATGGAAAGATGATATTTGTAACCCATGAGACCTTTGTCAGTATTAGGGTAGTTGGAGGGGAAAAAATTATATGTACATATATATAGATATAGATAGATAGATAGATAGATAGATAGATAGATAGATAGATAGATAGATAGATAGATAGAGGGCATGGGGTGAATTGAAAATGAAGGGGTCATATATGGAGAATAAAATTAAGGAGTGAGAGAGGATTATACTAGGAGAAGGAGAAAGGGAGAGGTAGAATGGGGTAAATTATCCCACAAAAAAAAAACCAGAAAAGAAAAGGCTTTTACAGTAGAAGGGAAACGGGGGAAAGTGAGAGGGAATGAGTGAATCTTATTCTCATAGGATTTGACTTAAGGAGGGAATAACATACACACTCAATTGGGTGTGGAAATCTGGCTTACCCTACAGGAAAATAAGGGAGGGAAGGGGACAAGCTAGTAGGGGGATGATAGAGAGGAGGGCAGATTGGGAAAGGGAGTAATCAGAAGCAAATACTTCTGAGGAGGAACAGGGTCAAAAGGAAGAATAGAATAAATGGGTGGGCCGGATAGTATTAAGGGAAACAGAGTTAGTTTTTCACAGCATGTCTACTAGGGAAGTGTTTTGCATAACTGCATGTATAACCTATATTTAGTTGCTTGCCTTATCAATGAGGGTGGGTGGAGAGGGAGGAAGGGAGAAAATTTGGAACCCAAAGTTTAAAAACACATGTTTAAAAAAAATGTTTTCACACGCAATTGGGAAATAAGAAATACAGGAAATGGGGTACAGAAATCCATCCTGCCCTACAGGAAAATTGAAAGGGAAGGGGATAGGAGAAGGGGAGGAGAGATAGAAGGGAAGACAGACTAGGGGAAGGAGTATTTAGAATACATGCCATCTTGGGGTGGGAGGAGGGGTGAGATGGGGTGAAAATTTGGAGCTCAAAATCTTGTGGAAGTAAATGTTGAAAACAAAAAAAAATAAATAAAAATTACCATAAAAAAGAATTATATTTTATTCCAGAGGCAAAGGATGCCACTGGAGTTTGAGGAGTATGGAACTGTGATTTCATTGATATAGGGAACCTCAGAGAGCAAAGGCCTTTTATCAGTTCAAGTCTTTATCAGTACCAATCTTTGTTATTTATAGTCTAAGAGAGTTCTCTAGAGAACTTATAAATGACTTACCTAACATCACACAGTCTTTCCTTTCTTTTCCCCCATCCCCAACCTGGTCTAAGCCTGCTGGGGAAGAAGGCATAGACCATTCTATCACAATTCCTCCACCAGTTGATTTGCATACTAGTAGCCAGTATGTACCAAAGATCAGACTTCATTTTACATCTTCCTGGCTAAACCAAAAAGGAGAGCAATTCCTAGTTTAGTCCATCAAAGCATTTATTAGGAACTAACTGTGTTCCATGAACTGTGCTAAGCACTGGAGATACAAAGAAAGAGAAAACACATCTCTACCCTCAAGGAACTCACATTATAATGGGAGAGAAATCATGCAAGCAACTATATACATACAAAAATATAGGTCGATAATAGTTATAGATATAATAATATAATCTATTATTTACTATATGTGCAGACATATTTGTGAGAAGAGGATGAGAGAGGGAAGAGAAGAAGAGGAGGGGGGAGGAGGGAAGGAGAAGAGAGGAGAGAAGAGGGGAGGGAGAACTGAGGAAAGGAGGAGACAGGAGAGGCCAGTGTTACTGGATCATAAAGTCCTTTAAGATTCTTAAAAGAAATAAGAATAAATGCACAGTGATGTTGAGTGACTATAGTGGGAAAGGACAGTTATGATGGTCACTTTTTAGTTATAAAGCTATACCAGAAAGCAATGGAGATGGTGAGAAATAATCCATCTAAATGAATACTCCAATAGGAAACTGTTAAACCTGGCAGCCCCAACTAAATATAAATTTGTATGAATATTTTTAAATGTTGACATTTTTTTGCCTTCCCTTTAAAAACAACAATACAAAGTGGCAAGAAATAAAAAAAAACCTGGGGAAAATAACCAAGAAACTCTTTTACATAAATAAATGCCCCACCTTCAGGAGGACAGAGCCAGATTGTCTAGATATCTGTAACTCATCCATATTGCATGAAAATTCAGACGGGAAACCTCTGCCTCTCTTTTGAAATCTAAATAGGAATTGAAAAGTTAGCTCACACCATGGGAGGGCTATTGCCCCATGAAACTGTAACTTTCCCATTTCCTGGGGTGAGTGTTGGAATCAACAAAAGAGATGCTAAATTATCATAACATTACATTTGGAACTAGTTAATTTAGAGAAGAATAGGAATGTTTTGGTGGAATTAAACAAAATCCAAACACTCTTTCTTTGATACCTGATTGATAAAAGAGTACTTTATGTCCTCCTATTAAAAATTCTTAATAAATGTTGATTAGAATGATTATTTATCACATATCATAAATCCTGTCTGCATTGCTCAGGGCATGATTTTCTTCACATCATGTTTGAGCCATGGCTACTGGGATTTAGTTTTGTATCCCATAGTGCTATCTTATAAATAATGTTTGATAGATATAAAGAGATGGAGAGCTGTATAAAAAGGACAAGAAATGGAATTTGAATGTATTTTCTCAGATTATGTCTCAAGTCACTTAGGTATCTTTGGAGGAAAGACAAAGAGATTCTGTTTCATAATTTGAGGCTCCTGGGTCAGAGCTTCTCTGGATTGTGAGGCTGCCAAAAGAAAACAAAATGTGCTAGGCATTATATTCAAACAGCCTAAGCTTCTCAGTGGGTGCTTTGATGACATTACCTGAAAAGCACAAATTCGGTATCCAATTTCTCTAAGTGAAATGTCAGTTAGGTATCATAGTGGATAGCATACTACTCTTGGAGTTAAGAAGACTTGAGTTGGATTTCTGTGTCGGGATCTTACTATTTGTGTTACCTTGCTTGTGACATTTAGTAGTTGTGTGACTCTAGTCAAATCACCTAACTGGAAAAGGAGGAGTCAGGCTAGATGGCCACTGAGGTCACTTCCAATTCTAAATCTGTCAACTTATGACATAGAACTAGGACAGTTGTGTTCACATCCCATTCCAACACATACTTCCTATGGTACTTTCTAAACCGAAGCTTTCTCGTTTGGAACTACCCCACTCAAGGCTGTTAGGAAGTTCAATGAGATTAGTACAGTTAAAACCCTTTGTAAATTTGAGAGTACTATATAATCATCTACTATCATAACTATTCATATTTTTGTTGTTATTAAAAAAAGGAAGGGCCTACCTAATTCAGTAAATAAAAGTAAACATAGAGCCAAATTTTAAGTAGTGGTGGGACAGGTTGTGTTTGTGTGTGTTGTTGTTATTGTTGTTGTTGTTTTTAATCTTCATTATCTTTTGATCTTAATTTATTTTTTTTTAATTTTTCTAAATCTTCTCACACTTAGATGTTAATTCTCATATCCTGTATTCTTTCAGAGGGAAGGGTCCATTGAAAAACACCTCTGATGTCATTAATGCTGCCAAGAAAATTGCTGAAGCTGGTTCACGAATGGACAAATTAGCCCGAGCTGTGGCTGACCAGGTAATATAATTGGAGGGAGCTAGTCACTCCTCTGAGTGGACTCTCTAATGAGCACCTGGGCTCTGTTTTGGGTTTTTTGTGTCAATAAATTTTATAAAGAACGAAATGTGGCACCTGACAAGCACTTTATGTGCCTTTTCCCTACTCTGGGCCCTGTAATGGCGGGAGAGGTAGATGTAGCTCAGAGAAGAGTCCTCATAACTTGTGTTCATAATCAGAAGTAATCCAATGAAAAACCTTCTCTATCTCCTGATAACCAGGGACTTTCTAATCATACTCAACTGAGTTTCTTCAAGTTGCCTCAATTAAAAAACAAAACAAAACAAAACAACTGCTTCCTACTTAAAAAAAATCAAAGGGGCAGCTAGGTGGCATAGTGAATAGAGCTCTGACCTTGGAGACAGGAGGACCTGAGTTCAAATTCAGCCTCAGACACTTAACACTTACTAGCTGTGTGATGCTGGACAAGTCACTTAACCTCTTTTGCCTCACCAAAAAGCAAAAAAAAATTCAGAAAGGAAAACTCTTCCCTTCCTTATATTTCCTCGATTCCATCCACTTGATGAATTGCCTCCACAGACACAGATCAATCACTTATTTGGATTGTATAGATACAGCTCTCAGTAACTTGCTAACAGTCCCCTAGGTCTCTCTCTATGTATGTATGTGTATACATATGTTTATATGTATTTATGAATACATAAATGTATATATGTGTGTATGTATATATACAATTTGATATATATCTGATCTGATATATAATATATAAATGTATATATAAATATATATGTATGTGTGTATGTAAATATGTGTGTGTGTGTGTGTGTATGTATAATCAGAGACAGGATTTGAACTCAGATCTTCCATATCTTTCTAACATGGAGACCAGTCTACTATTCACCAGACTATACTGCCTACTTACTTAGTATTCATTTTAGTTTTTTTAAACAGCTTTCAAAACTAAACCTGTGATTTTATTGATTTAGAGAACTTTCACCAAGGAAACTCCCTCTACTAATCCGGCGTAGCAGCATTTTTGGCAGCTTGATGTCTTAGGACTTGTGCCAGTACTGAATGGTAAAGTAACTTGCCCAGGGTCATCCAGCCTGTATGTGGCTAAATCAGGATTTGAACCCAGGTCTTCTTGATTCTAAGGCTTACCCACTATCCATTACCTCATGCTGCCTCACATTTTTAATAGGATGACACCAGTGATTGTATTTGTATCAGTAAATTTCTGTGAGGAATCTAACTCTTCCAAGGTACATTGGTACCTTCTTTGAGAAGCAAGATGAGTTGCCCAGGACCACACAACTAGTACAAGTCAGAGTCAGGATTAAAATCAATTTTTTTCCTGGTTTCAAGATTATCTGTCTATTAATTATTCTGCACTGCCTTTCTTCAATAACTTATAAAACTGGAAATGGTCTAATGTAAAGAAAATCTTGTTTTCTCCTTTCATTGTCCCTGCTTCCCCAACTGGGAAATATGGAATCATCTATCCATGAACTTCCCAAAAAAATTCTGCTTTAAATTCTCTGGTGTTGTCATAAGTCTCTAATGTTGTGAAACCCAACAGTGTTGTAACACTTAAGATGTTCCCCATTTTAGCAATGGATCAGTGAGTCCACTGCCAAATGTAGGCAGGCTTTTTTTGAGCTCTGACCTTTCCTCTTCTAATTGGGTCCAATTCAGCAATTACTTGTTGATTTGGGCTTGTTAGGGAATGGGAAATTACTCATGGTAGCTCTTCAGACAACTGGATATTTTTAAACTTTAATCATTTAGTGATGGAAACCATCCTATTTCCCTATCTTCAACAAATGATACTAATGTAAGTAAACCCATGCTCAGTGTCATCTTTGGAAATAGTAATTGTATCGACTATTGTCCAGTGCTGCCCTCAGGAGATTCTGAAGTAAGTACAGTTACCCTTCCACATTGCAACTTTCCCCATTGTGGTTTCAATAAATCATGGGTTGGCATAAGAAATCAAATGGGAATGTTTTGGGAGTTTTGTGGAAGCCACAGATGATATACAAAGGCCAACAGATAACACAGAGCCCATGAGCAAATATTAACCTCCCAATTTTTACAATAAGGTATTGTAAACACCCCATTAAAAAAGCAAAAAAAAATATTAGACTTCTCTCTGGTATGAAAGGAGGGCCAAAATATTACACAAATTTTCTGGCTCACAGAGGTGCTGAGCCCCTAACCCCCTGAAATGAGGAAGGGATAACTGTAATGCTGTTTGCATCTAACAAAGTGGGTTTCCTCCAGCCCCATTAGCTTGGATTATTAGCATTCTGGATGACTCCCATCTTAGAGTAAACATACTTTGGGGACTATTTAATAAACATTTACCTGTTAAGGGGATTCAATACTTCCCATCCCCATTCACACATACAGAAGACACTAGTTGGGGCCTTACCCCTGTCTTGAAGGCTTAGACTCTAAATGGAGAAGCAGTATGAGCACACTTGAAAATCCATTGAAATGGAGAGAGGATGTTGGGAAGATGGTGGAATAGGGCAGAAAATTTCAAGCTCTCAAAATTTTCTTCCACAAAACAGATAAATTAGTGCCTCTGGGCTGACAGAGCAGTGAAAACAAATAAGGTAGGGGCAGAACAGGGGTCCTTTCGGATATTTGAAGAAGATCTGAAGAAAAATCCCAGGACCAGATTGCCTCCCTATGAAAAGTAAACACCTCCAGGCTAGGGTCTGCTTAAACAAGGGGCAAGCCCTGGGATTAGCTGAGTTGGGAGGCTGCCTCCGCCCCAGCCACAGGAACTTTTACCCCAGGGATAGTGAGGGGAGTTGGTCATCTGACCTGGAAAAGTTCAAGGGAACCTCTGCTGACAAGGTACTCCAGACTCAACTGTGCTGGAGAGATGTGGTGGGGGGTGAGAAGGAACCAGCACACGCCCACCCAGTGAGTACAGAAGCACTGGGGTGGGATGCTGCTGGCTGTGGGCACTTACAGGAGTCTGGAGGTCTTGGTTTGAGTTCAAGTTCAGAAGGGAGAACGGAAGAGGGTCAGAGGCCAGAGGCACTATCTCCCATACCCCAGGACTAGAGGTGATTACAAAAACTAAACTATTACAAAACAAATGCACAGGCAAAGGAGAAAGAATCCAAACATAGAGAGCTACTATGGGAATAAAGAAGATAGGGGTTCATTTTTGGAGGAGGCTACCAAAGCAAGGAAACCCCCTTCTACCCCAAAGAGTAACATCACCTGCCCAAAACAAATTAATTGAAGAACTTAAAAAAGACTTTAAAAATCAAATGAGAGAGATTAAGGAAAAAAAAAGCTAAAAAGAAAAATAAGACTAATACAAGAAAAGAAGATTATGAAAAGAAAGTCAACCAATTAGAAAAGGAGATCCATAACATTAAGGAAGAAAATGACTTTGGGAAAATCATAATTGGGCAAGGGGAAGCCAGCGACGGGTCTAGAGAAAAGATCAAGAATAGAAAACATAAGAATACTTGGACTACCTGAAAGTTCTAATCAAAAAAGGAATTTTGATACAATAATACAAGAAATATTTTTTTAAAAATGTCCTGAAGCATTAGAACAAGAGGGGAAAGCAGAAATAGCAAGCATCTACTGAATACAACCTAAAAGAGATCCTATGAGGAAAACTCACAGGAATATCACGGTCAATTTCTGAAACCCTCAGATCAAGGACAAAATATTATGAGCAACAACAACAACAACAAAAACAATTTAAATATGGTGGTACCACACTTAGAATCGCGCAAGACATCACCACGGGGATACTGAAAGATTGCAGGTCTTGGAACACTGTATATCAAAAAGCAAAAGAACTGGGCTTCTGGCTGAAAATATCATACCCAGGAAAAGGTAAGCATAATTCTGAATGAAAAAAAAAATGGACATCTGAACAATTTGTCAGACTTTCAGGACTTTGTTTAAAAAAAAAAACTGAACTCAATAGAAGATTTGGCATACAAGAGCCAAGGGAAATATAAGGTACATAGGAATGACCAATTACAAGGGACTAAAAGATAGAATGTTTGCCTTTTATGTATGGAAAATGTAAAACTTGTACCTAAGACTGTTACTAGTAATTAGGTAACTTATAAGAATGATTAGGGTAGACCTGAGTATGATATGACTTCAAAAATTAAAACCATTTAAGAACAGTTAAAAGAGTAATTGTATTTTGTGAATAAGGTGCTGGAGGAAGAACCAATAGAGAGGAATGAGATGGAGGAGGAGGGCTGTTATTTTAGGAAACCTACTTTTATCAGGAATGGGTTTAAGAGGAGAAAAGGGGCAGCTAGGTGGTACAATGTATAGAGCACTGGCCCTGGGGACAGTAGGACCTCAGTTTAAATATGGCCTCAGGCAGTTGACACTTAATAGCTGTGTGACCTTGGCAAGTCATTTAACCCCAATTGCTTCACCTCCCCCCGCCCTAACTAAAAACAAAACAAAACAAAAAATATATATCTTGAATTGAATGATGTCATACTCATCAAAAATTGTACTGCAAACGCTAAATAGAAACTGGAGGAAAACAAGTGACTGTTTTCTGGCTCAGTATTATGGGGAGACTTTTATTTTGGGGGAGATAGAGAAGGGCAAAAATGTCTCCTGGATCTAGAGTGGATGTTTCACAAAAATCACTTGTCTTCCGTGCTACTGGACAGAATTGGAAGAAATTACAAAATACTCAGACTGAGTGCACTACAAATTCATTATCAAATCTTAACAGAGTTCTGATTAGAGAAAGGCAATTGGTATGATAGAGAGCAGGGATGATAGTGGGAGGCAATATGCTTGGGAAGGTGGGAGGGAATGGAATCTAGGGTTTGTGTAGAGGAGTTGGCATTGATATCAAGGGCCACCTCTTCGTCAGAATATGGAGTAATGGAGGAGGAAGTAAGTAATGATGTTAGGAGGATCTGAGGTGAGGAGAAAGGGAGAAGGAAATGGCCTCATTTTTTTTTTTCAGAAAAGTATGAAATGAGGGTCTCAATTGAAAAAGTGGAAGGAAGGGATGGTGACATAAATTTTAGAAAAGTGAAGGTTTGGAGCAAGAAGAGTTAATAAGATTGTAGTGGACCCAGTCGTCACTGCTTTGTGATTTCCTCAAGTTTTGTTCAGTATCATGGAAGAGGAACAATTGGAAAAGATCATAGAAGTCTAGCACTGGTATTTGGCAAGGTGTGATCAGCAATAGTATAGGGGAGTCAAGAAGTCAAGAGTTAAGAATATTGAATTGAACTGGCTCGTGAGGAAGATGAACTTTGGAAAGGACAATGGTGCAACAAGAACATGGTCTCTTTGAAAAGAAACCATACTGTCTAAACAAGACACCCTCTCTTAATTTTTTTTTTTCTCGTTGTGGGAATAATCACCAGAAAGTGACTTGCCATTTCTGTTGTTCTTGGATCAGGACCTTCTTATACATACTATTGTGGGGATTTGAGTGGTTGTAGAGGTGTTCCGCTTGGGAAGACATGCTTTTTGCATTTTAAATTCCTCTGGATGAGGTTCAGCTGAACAGCTGACAATGAACAAAGCTGGGGAAGCCATCAGCAGATGCCTTTCTGTAGCTGGGAATATTTTTTTCCCGAAGTTTCGAGATATGCATGCAATATAAACTTTTTATGGACTGTTGCATTTTTAATTACTGTTCCAAGGAGATAGACCTTCCAGTTTAATTTGCTCCAAGGTGTTTGTATTGAAAGCTTTGTCAGCTCTCTGGAGAGATATCATTTTAAAGTTAATTCTTTTCAGTACATGGGTCTCAGGAGTAGGATAAATATTACAGTATTAAATAGTTGCAGGAAGGAGAAATGGTCTCTGTGGAATTATTCCTTGATAGATGCAATAACATAGAAGAAGGCATGTTGGTGACAGCCATGCAGAGAGTAGGTTAAACTCAGTGACCTCCTGAAGTCCTCCTTCCTTGCTTTTTGTTTTTATCAAAAGAGAGAATATGGTTGTGTCCAAATCATATGTTTGAATTATATAGATAGAAGCTATCAGACTTCTCAAGGCTTGCTAAACTCTTTCCTAGTATTTCACTTGGATTTCTGTTTCTTTTTTATTTCTTTTTTTAATTTTTTATAAATTTATTATTTATTTTTTGTTTTCAACATTCACTTCCATAAGATTTTGTGTTCCAAATTTTCTCCCCATCTCTCCCTTCTCCCTAGACGGTGTGTAAATTGATATAGGCTCAGCATATATTTATTGGATTTCTATGTTTCATTTCACACACTCTCACACACATAACATATGCCAAAGACTACTGTGATTGGCCTTGAATGCCTTTTTTTCTATCATGTTTGCTCAAGATGGCTGATGATTGTGTTTAAGTTTCCAGAGCCCCAAAACACTTCATTTTCAAGCTCCCAGATCTCTGAAGCCCCTTGCTATAAAGTCAATCACACAAAAACTCTCATGTACTGCCACTCACATGAGAATTCTTAGAGAATCATGAGTCAGGTCACTAGGCAGGGACACACTTTGCTGAGCCATGGGAGTAATTGATGGAGTCCAGAACATTCCATTTACCATTCAGAATGGTGACTCCCTTTTCTCAGCTGATCATGTAATGGGCAAGCTGAACAATTGTGTCTTCCTATCCGCAGTTCATTTCAATTGACTCTGAATGAATTGTTCTAGGAACATTCCCACTTGTATTGGTTATGAACTATCTCTAAGCCTCTTACTTTTAAGGCCCTTGAATAGGTCGCTATAATTTTGAGATTCACAATGGGTCTAAAATGGAGACAGACATGCTATAATAAAAATGATGCTCTGCTTAGACAAGCAAAGGAAATAAATTTGCTTCATCTTCTTATTAGAGCAATGACTTGAAATCATATTCTCTAATGCAGCATGCAGATTACCATAAATGATTTCCTTCCAGGGGAGAATGGCTGGGTGTTATACGTCAAAAGACTCCCATGCTTCATGAAAACTGAATGGAGTTCTCTGCAAAATAACCTCTGAGATTACTTAGCTGTCTTTACTGTGCAGAAGGCAACTAACAAAGAGTGTAATTACTTATTTACAGATGATATCAATAGGGTCTTTCTGGGATATCTTTATATTTTAATTTATGAGATTCTGTGGGAGCAGAAAGACTAATTCTCAACCAGTAACTCCCATCCCAAGGGGACAGGTGGGTAGTGTTTTGCTAATATGGTATAGACCTAAATTATGTCCTTCTGTGAGATTTGATGTGAGAGTGTTATAAAAGAAACTATGTAATTGAGAATGCCACTTTTTTTTTTATTTTCAGTGTCCTGATTCTGCGTGCAAACAGGATTTATTAGCCTACCTTCAACGAATTGCCTTGTATTGCCACCAGCTTAATATCTGCAGCAAGGTCAAGGCAGAAGTACAGAACCTGGGCGGAGAGCTTATTGTATCAGGGGTAAGCTGGTATTTGGATGTCATAACTCCAAGGTCCCACTGTGGTAGCACTTTAAGGGAACCATTCTTGGCAACAGTACTGTTTCAAAAAAATAATAATAATAAATCATTAAAATAGAAGAAGTAGACAACAACTCAAACACTAGTGATTCATACATAGGGAGGCTTTTTAAAATGTTATCGCCATTATTCCAGACCTTATAATAACTGGTGAAGAGCAATTTGATTTTCCAATTACCCTGTGTTTATACTAGCCTTGTAAAATCTCCATTCTTCACAAGAAAACTAATTTCATAGTCTGGAAACTCATTGCCAAGCTGTGACTATTGTAATTGTTTGGGGCTTTTGTCTATTTACTCATTGTAAGTCTACTTCCCTTTGTTAGTATTAGAAATTTGCATCATCTGTACAAGAGCCAGGACCTCTACATGGAGGCTTGTGTTCATGTCTTAAACATGATGAAAATGACAGGAATTCCTTCACTCAGGTTCCAATGCACACTAGGTTTATCAATGACCTAAGACCTAGAAGACGTGCTGTTGCCAAAAAGAAACTAACATAGCTGTCAAACACTAACAATTACATTTCCTTTGCTCAGTTGTTCCCATTTTTGTTTTCTTTTGCATTGGAAATATAATCATCTGGTCCATTTCCATCCCATGAATCAACATGGAAAATTCAAGGAATATTTAGTACATGCAGTATTTCTTGGTAGGATTTCCATATGGAGGTGTTGGGTTTCTTGCCCATGTCTTCTTCCCCTTCTCTCATCCCTCAACCAAAACACTGGGAAGTAAAAGAAACTTCCCAGCCCACAACTTGCTGGTCATTGTGATTTGTATGCAAATTCCAAAGTGTGGCTCCAGCAACCTTTATCTCTTCCCACCCCTTTCCCAGCCAACTGCAGTGATATCATTTTAAATGTGCCACATTACTCATGATACAACATTTTCAAGATGGTGGATGGCTTGTGAGGATTGGGTTGGTCATGAGCCCCAATTCTTTGTAAGGCCCTTTCTCAGGAATTTCATCGAGTGAAAATAATTCAGTCCTCAAACAAGTTTTTTCAACTGTGAGGGGGAAAAACAAAATCCCATTTGAATCCAGATGCTTCAGTTCATGAATGATTTTACCTACAAAGAAGGTAATTGTGAAGCAAAATGCCTGGGCTGGCCTGGAGACACCATCTTGAAAGCCTACTCTGTGCTGTCCTAGCAAGGGAGCCTAAGAAATTGGCTGTACCATGCTAGTGCAAAAGGTTCTCCACTTCTTCACCTGGTCAAAGAAATCCAACTTGAAAATCTCCCACTGCAAAGCCCTAATCTGTCTTGCATTGTGCCCTCCTCCCCCACTGAGTGGTCTTTCCCCTCCAAACTCTTGCTTGTAAACAATGCTGTTGCATTTTAGTCGCCATGCTTCTTTTCTTCTCTTCTGCCTTGATGGTACCATTCTCCATGCCATACAGCTTTTTTCATCCATCTGTACAAAACAGTTGTGGAACTGAGTGCATTTGGTTCTCTGTGTCGTATGTGCTTTAAATATCTCTCCAATTTCTTCTTTTTTTATTCATTTTTTTTAAACATGGATGCACGTAGCATCTTTGTTAATCCCAGACTCCACAGCCTCATCCTCCACAAAGCTTTCTGGGCATAAATGCTTACCATCATTTTCTCTGGCACATCATTGTTAGCAGTCACTGCTTCCAAAGCCTCATCTCCATTGTCTGTTCCTCATTTAGATGTAGTCCCAACCCATCAGTGGCTTTCATCCTTTGCATTGTTAGTTTTAAAGATATTTTCAGGGACTCAGGAAGCTTGTGCTAATGGGATCCCCTTCTTTGAGGTGTGCTGTATAAAGTTACAGAAACTGATAATGGTTTTTCCAAGAGGAATTGTTCAGAGCTCCATCATAGCATTGATCCAGGACTTCTTCATGGTATGTAATATGTAATGTAGCCACAGCAAAGGGCCTGCTCTTTGGCTTCATTTTTTTTTTTTTGGCAAAGGAAGATTGCTCTTCAGGGCCTCACTGGCATCTGTAGATTGCTTGTCTCTTCCCACTTGTACTCCCATCTTATTCTTCATTGGCTAAGCCAATTAGTACACCACAAAGTTCTCTGGCCACTTTACCTGACTACCTTCTGAAAGGCAAAAGGAGACAATAATATGAGGTTCACAAATGAGAAAAAAATAAAATACCCCATTTTTTTGCCAAGAAAGTGCTCCTATACTTTGGGTTCAATTTATATTTAGGGTTCCCTCCCCTACTTTGTCATGGATTGATGACTATCCTGCCAGATTTTTAAGGTGATGGCACTGTAGCTCATGTTCGCAGCTGCAAATGTTGGCTACAGTTTCTATACCTTTTCCTATGAATCCATTCAGTGAGGATTCAGAGCCACACTGCAGGGCTGAGAATAAAATGGTTTGAAGTTTTCTCTGGAAATTGTTTGGTACAACCTAATGCTCTCTGCCAAGCACAGGGGATTTGGGACACCCTGTTTCCAGATGATGCCTGTCTTATTGAGAAAACATGGTATTAACTTTCAAACCTAAAGCCAGGAACCTTAACTTCCAATACATTTGTATTCCTGTAGATGATGCATTTCTGTCTAGTAAGAAATTTTAGGTGCGTTGAATACAGGGATCAGTTTTCTTTATTTTTGAAAGAATTCCTATCATTTTATGTATTGTAGATATTTGTATATTTAAAATGCCCATGCATTAAAAACAAGTGTGTCTGAGGACCTTGAGAACTTCCCACCTCTGATCTGATCTCTCTCTTTCTCTCTCTCTCTCTGTATCTGTCTCTGTCTCTGTCTCTCTCTCTCTCTCTCTTCTTTTCTCTCTCTGTCTGTCTCTCTCTTTCTCTTCTCTCTGTCTCTCTTTCTGTCTCTCCCTCACTGTCTTTCTCTGTCTCTGTTTCTCTTTGTCTCTCTCTCTCTCTCTCACTTGCTCACTCTCTCTCTTTGCCTCTCCCTTTCTTTCTCCCTCCATCTTTCCCTTTCTTTCCCTTTAGGGGAAGAGGAAAGGATGATGTTTTGAAAAAGAATTTGCAGGAAATATCTGAAATTTGTCATTAGCCACAAAGGGAACTCCTGGGATTTGATAAGCTGATAGTGACTGTGAATCTGTGCATGTGTATGTGTGTGTGTGTGTGTGTGTGTGTGTGTGTGTGAATGATCAGTCTTAAATGAAAAAGACAGTTTCCACATTAGTTTCCATACACTCTATACTATTGATTAAGTCATAAATCCTATCTCAGAATGTAATAGCTGAATAACCTTTGGTCACATGTATGCAAATGTGTATGTATATATGAATGCCTGCATGCATGTATATTCCATATAGCCATACAAACAGGGTGTCCTCAAAGTGTTAGTGCACTTTTAAGCTTTAGTAACTTAAAACTGTGTTAATTCTTGGGACATTGTCTAGATGAGAAGTTTTATGATGTATCAACTTGAAGTCTGTCCTAGAAGTCATGAAGTCATGAGTTCAAAACCTGACTCTGACACATACTAGTTCTATGACTCTCACTAGCTCATTGAAAGTCTCAATGTCCCAGGTAACTAAGACTCTAAGTTATATATGACTAATAGCATGGGTTTTCCAAGTTTGAAGTTCCCTACACAGATGATATTGCAAACATACACACACACATATGCATATGTATGTGCACATACATGAGAATATATACATACATGTGTAACCTCAAGAATATATGGGTGTATAGACACATATGCATGAATGTAGGTGTTTATGCTTATATATCTCCTATCTTTACCATGTGGATTTTAGATTTTATTGGTGTGGGGAATTCTAAGTAGGAAAATTTTCACCAATGTAAATTTGAAACTTCTCTGCAACTGATGAGCTTTGACACTTGCTTGGGACATTTTGAGTTTAAGTGACTTGCCCAGGGTCACACAGCCAGTATGTATCAGAGAAACATCTTGAACCTTGGTATTCTTGACTCCAAGGCTGGTCTTATATCCCCTTTGCCCTGCTGTAAATGTGTACAGAAACACAATTGCCTCTTTATAGCCATAGCTAGGGGTCAGGTGGGAAAATATTTTCCTTTTTTTTCCCAACTTCGGTGGCTTATGATGTTCTCAAAGAGTTGTTAATGGTGGGAAAGGAACTCCACCTTTCACATTAAAAGTCAAGTGGTCTTATTTTAAATGTGATTAAATTCATTTCATCGTCCTCTCAAGGGGGATCTGGATAAAGCAGAATCAGAATGAAGCTCAGAAATTATCTTAGAGGACTTCTGCAAAACGATTGATCTGATCTGGAGACACCATTTGTAAAGACTACTGTGCTGTGTCCTAGCAAGGGAGCCTAATAAGTTGGCTGATCCTTGCTAGTCCCAAAGGTTCTTCAATTCTTCACCTGGTGAAAGAAATCCAACCTGAAAATCTTCCACTGGAAGCCCTGTGCCGCTTGCCTAAGAAAGCTAGTATGACATAGTGCAAAGATAGTCCTGGCCTCAGAGTCAGAATATTTGGATTAATAGTCCCACCTCTACCACTGTAACTTGCAGTATTACATTTGATAGATTAATTCCCTCTCTGAACCTCAGTTTCCTTATCTATAAAAGGGAAAATAATATGTATCATAAGTGACTCCCTTTTGAAATATCATAGAACTAGTTAGGAGTAAAGTGAGGGCCAAAAACCATTCATCCTTGTGGATAATCCACTAATTCACTGGTTTTTCTAAAGCACCAATATACCTCAAATCATATCCCCCATCATATAAGTATGGTTAAATCATCTATGTGTTCCTTTATCCTCTTTCTCTCTGTTTGTTTTTGTCTTTGTCTCTGTCTCTGTGTCTCTGTATCTCTTTGTCTCTCTCTCTGTCTCTATTCTCTGTCTCTCTCTGTATCTATCTCTGTCTCTCTTTCTCTGTTTTTCTCTATCTCTGCCTCAGTCTCTTTCTATCTCTCTCACCTTATTCTCTACTTTTATGTGTCTTTTCCATTGGTCTCTCTCGA